AAGCTGTGGACGCCTACAAAACGGCCATTTTGGAGACCCCAACTTCCGAATGGAATGGTTGCTTCAATGATTGGTTCCATCGTATGGAAAAATGTGTCAAATTTCGCGGAGAATACTTCGAAAAGCAATAAATACATTTTTAAATAGTAATGTTGTGTCACTTCGTTAATTCCCGAAATTTTCAGTGCCGCCTAGGTACACACTTCATCTTCACCGTAGAAGTCAATCGTAAACATTTGTTGAGTACGTATTTCATTAGAAAAATTGGTACCCGCCTGAGATTCGAACACTGGTGCATCGTTACATACGAACGCACCGGACGTCTTATCCTTTAGGCCACGACGACTTCAAATTACTGCACTGGTTCCTTGGTCAGACATTCCTTTAGTATTCTTGTAGATATGTACGTATGATTTGCTTTTAAATGATCTACTAATTTTACTTTTATTGTCTTTTTAAATTTAAATTAAACTAGGGGATTAGTTCTTAGTATCAATATATGGTGATAAAAATTTTAATGCATTATAATATTATGTCATTTGCTTATTATTCTGTGTGTACCTAATAGCAATAAACGAATAAAAAAACTTCACTTTGTAAACATGAGTAATTCCCTATAATTTAAATTATCACTGGTCATAATAAAATAAATGTATAGGAAATTAGTCGTACTCGCCCGCTTCGCTGGGCATTTAAAAATAACATTATTATTTATTGTCATTATTATTAGGGATTCCAACACTCATATAAATATTAGCCTATCCATTAAGTACATGTATTTTCTACATGGATACCAAGTGTCAAGTCAATCGGATGCATGGTTCAGTAGTTATAACGGAACAACCGTAAAAACCACAGTAGATTTTTATATTAGTATAGATACGATTGTAACCCTTTTAACGCGATCTTAAACTCATAGAGACAAGATAACAGATACATGGTTTTTGCAGAGCGCGAGAGCCTGTGGCAGGGCGTGTTCATTCGCTCGTACACGTACCGGTCGCTCGTGGTGGGGTTCGGTGCGGGCACGCGCGCCACCGCCGTGCTGCAGTGGAGCGCCGCCGCCCAGCGCTACACCGTCGCCACGCCCGCGCACCAGCCCGCCGCCAACGCGCACCATCTGCTGCACCATCACCTCGACCAGTACATAAACACGTCAGTATCGACTAATGATACGCTACTGACAATAATCCAAACATTTCTAGATTAAATACAATTCCATAAAATGTTGTCCAAATACTAAGTACTTTAATTTAAAATGTAATATTTAAAAAAAAAAAAAAATTGCTCGTTAGCTATTTGTTTTGAGTTTTGTATGGTGGTCAAATGGGTAATTTTTTTAAACCTGAAGCTAATTATTCTTTTTCAACCTTAATTTTGCATAATATGATACGGGGTCATCCCTACTCCCATTTATAAACAGAATAGGTTCATATAATGACTTTTGTCATTATCAATATCATACATATTAGAGGCTACGGAACCGTTCACATTTTAATTATATGTATTTGTTTTTCAATAAATTGTAATTTGTGCAGTCACAAGGACCTGATGTCCCTCGGCGTGGTGCTGCGGGAGACGTACGCGCCGCTGCTGGCGCTGAGCCGCCTCCCCACGCTGCCGCAGCTCGGACTGCACCACGTCCGCACACAGATGCCGACACCTACCTTCACTTTGCTCGCTCATTCGTGGAGAAAGGTACTGTATTCCACAACCTCTTTCACGGATGCCTGCTCTTGCTAGGGCTAATGTTAGCAACGTCGGCAGGTTAGAGCCCCGTGAGCTCACCTACTCGTTTTGAAAATCAAGTATAGCCCCTAGAGGTTACTAGAATAGGTAGGAAAAAAATTTAAAAAAAACACGCCTGTTGCATTGTGGTAAATGAGAGTGGACTGTATTTATTGGTTTTGATATCTTTATTAGTCCTTATGTGACAAATTAAAGATATATGAATATATGAAATCGATGCATCGCCCTTGGCGGCTGGAATTGAAAGGGGAATAGTGTCAAAGCGGACGTCGCTAGTTGACACTTTTGACGTTCCGAATTCAAACAACGCCTGTATTTAGAATTGGACTTTTTGAAAAATATTGATATAAGTGTTAAGTATTCAAATGTATGCTATTATATTCATATTAGAATTTAGATGAAACGTTAGTGACATACTATGCGTGCGACACTCGCACGGTATACTCATATCGAGTGGTGCGACAATTCCTAGTGCTCAAATCTTAGAATAGGACAGCAAATTTATAATCTAATAAATAAATCAAACACGTATTCACAACCGACTTTAAAAAAAAAAGAAACCTGCAGTATTAGTAATTTTCATGCCTAGTGTCACTTGCTGATTTTCAATCTTATTATTACCAATTCAAGTACCAGTGGTAGGGCATATTACAAGACCATAGCATAGCTGATATGCAAGTTTGAACCTCGGTATAGGTACACAATACGACACCGGACATATACCCGCTAAGTCATAAACGCTTCTAAATATGTCTATGTTAAGTCTTAAATTTTTTAAATTCTATTTTGATATTATTTTATTTTATTTATTTAGTATTATTTCGTCGGTAACCACGAAAACTAGAAAGTATTCGAAACATTGGAAATATCACATTGTCTAGGAAAATAGAAATTAATTCGTAATAGTAGTTTTAATTATTATGCTCTATTTTAAAATTAAACAATTTATATTTTTAATATTTTGTATGCATGATGATAAAAATGAACTTTTCGTTTTATTAGATTCGCGTGATCTATGCCGGAGCGTATTCAATTGAAGTGGGTATTAGGGGAGGAGGAATTGTCACTATTCGAGACGGATCATACTCGAAGTTCGATCGCGCGCCCATCGTGGACGAGTTTGCTCCCGCACAAGGACTGAAGGTAAACAAACACGCAGCTTGTCAACTGTTGAGCTTGCACGAGATAATATTGATCAGAATTTCATTAATTAAAGAATTTGTTATATGTATTATTATTATTAGATTTTTTGTTTTTTATTATTATTGTTGCTTTTGTTTTATTCCGAGATTGTAGTTCTTATTTTTATTTAATTCTGGTATACATACTATATGAAATATTAATGAATGTAATATGGATGCAAAATCTGAAGTAAATGAAATAAATAAATAAAATTAAGAACGTTTTTCCTGTTTTACAGACATTCTTATCGAGATACGTCGACGACAGCTTAAGTGCGCGTTTAGTGGCAGAAGATGATAATCCACCTTCACCTATGTCGCCAATGCCACCTGGTGAGATTTACAATCCTCTTATAGTACAGTGATTTAAAGTGATGCTGAGAATTCGAATGCCTGTTAATGGAATAACAGAGAACCGGCCTTTAAGAAATAAAAATTTTATACTCATACCAACTTTAATACATGTGACGTCATGTATGCCTAAAATAAACGACGACACCATTATTCTACACTAACATACGACGATTAACCTTTTACTAAGTTAGTAGTAGTAGTTAGTAGTAGTAAGTACTTGTTAGAGATATATTTTAGTAGTAATAAATAGTGAAAAGATAGTAGACTAAGTTTGTAAACAAATACTTTGTGTGCAGGTGGTCTACGTTTCCCTGCGCCTCTGACTCCACCACAGCCACACACACCACACTCTGCGCCGGTAACGCCGCACCCTGCCTCGCCCGCTCATCAGGTAACACAAAGCCGCGAAGATAATACATTGATTTTCACTCGCTCGCACCGTTAAACACTCGTTTCCAGAAATTTGATTTTTAATTAAGCGTTTTTATTCGACGATTAGCATTTTTAAACTTCATTCATTGTTTTTCTTATATTATGGATCCAGCGCTGCAGCAAATTATTTTGTACATAACTAACCAAGAAAATTCTTCGATTAAAGTTCTAATACAACAACGGTATTATTGCTAATAAGCTCTCTTATTTGTTTCATATATTGTAGATGGGTGGAGGGTCCTTCAACCTGACATCTCCCCCGGGCGGCGGCGGCGGCGGTGTGGGTGCGTCTCCTGCATCCCCCATGGCGCCGTCACCGCACGCCGCCCCCGCCGCCTCCCCGCACCCGCCGCCCACGTCGCCTTTCACCGCGTGGCCTGCTTCGCCCTCGCTGCCGCGGCCTTCGCCCGGGCACCATCCTTCGCCCAGGCACCACATCGATCACAAAGGTCTCGATTAAACCAATAACATAAATCTTTTGAAATATATTTACATTTTAACGAACTTTTGTTATTTCAAATTTTATTGACTTGAGCAAAATATTTGAAAATTAAAAGAACATGATTATTTTATTGGTAAATTATGTTCTCCAGTTTTTACTATAATTGTAAAATACTACAAATTAAGAAGAATTAAAATATATAACACCATTAAAGATACGCAGAACAGTATACCTAGCATAAGATTGGCGTATGTCAGGTCCTCAGGCTAGTTCGTCGACGAGCAGTCGCAGCGGAGGTCGTGCATGGGGCGGCGGCGCGGCCACCCCGCTGGCGGTGAGCAAGCTGGAGGCGCTGTGCACGCCGTGCGAGCCTCCCCCCGGCGCCCCGCCCGGCCCCGCGCTCGCCCCGCTGCAGCGCTTCCTTGCCTGCGTCTACATGAAACGGACCTTGCAACGATTCGTAAACGTTGAAGAATTTGTCAATGTATGAAAACAGTCCTATTTATTTTAATCGAAAATAACTTACTATGTACAATACAATAGGCGTCCGTAATAGACACGCTATTGACAATTTAAACAGGTCATTTGTTTACAAGACCGTTTCGATATAAGTTTCTTGTTTATTTATTGCCCTTGTAGGCACACGAGCATACGGGCTACCTGATGGTGAGTGGTTAACGTCGTCCATGTATAATCCTAAAGCCATGGGACGAGACGACAAAACTCTGTCAGTGCCATTCCATTTCACACTCTTGTATTGTGGTTTTTCTTTGATTCACATGCATGCACAGTACCATATCATTCAGAAAGGTGTAGCATTTGACGATTATTTAAAACAGTGATTGCATATAATGATTATTGCTTATTGTTTATAGTTGACATTGGTCTCTGTGGACGCGACTAGCCTGACGTTCCGCAGCGACGCCGCGGGACTGTGTGCGCGCGTCGCTCTGCACCCGCAGCACATGCAGTCCTTGCACTTGCACCTCACGCCGCTGCCAGAGAGCAAGGAGATATGGTCGCCCGATGACCTGCAGGTGTGCAGATACCCTAAACTTATTTAGTTCTACGTTCTCAACTTTTGGAAACACAAGACCGCGAGGTACGACCTCCTTTCTGCTACAAAGCAGTAAAGGCAGTGAGTATCCGTTGCAAGTCTACGTCATTTAAAAATAAAAGACTAATAGTCGTCGTGGCCTAATGTATAAGACTTTCCGGTGCATTCCTGTTGCACTGGTGTTCGAATATCAGGCGGGTACCAATTTTTCTAATGAAAGGTACATAACAAATGTTCACGATTGACTTCCACGGTGAAGGAAAAACATCGTGTAATAAAAATAAAACCCGCAAAATTATAATTGGCGTAATTACTTGTGGTAGGACCTGTGAGTCCGCGCGTGGGGTAGGGTAGCCGTTGTAACTATTCTTGATGTAGATCTTGTAGATGTCTATGGGCTCCAGTAACCACTTAACACCAGGTGGGCTGTGAGCTCGTCCAACCATTTAGCAATAAAAAAATAAAAAAAAATAACACCACCTATCGATTTATTTTAACACACAACGAATGAGGTGTCTCAAACATTTGCAAAATTCAATATTTTATTATGTAGGTAATAGGAGAAAATGTTTCCTATTTAAATTTAATTGTATTTCATCATGAGATCTGATGTTAATGATCTGACGATATCGATACAGATCATAGAAAAATTCTTCGAGGTTCGCGTGGCGATAGCTCCGTACCGTCCCACCGCGCTGCAGGGGTGGGTGCGGTGGTGGGGCGCGCCGGCCGCGGCGCTGACGTCGCTGGTGGCGGTGATGCGCGCGGAGCTGGCGCCGCAGGTCCCGGCGCTGTGGGCGCTGCAGTGGGCGCTGCGCATCCCGCCCGCCGCGCCGCCCATCGTGCCCGCCGGACAACCGGCAGTCTTACTCGCAAAAAACAAAATATTATTCTTCGTAAGCACCAAACTCATTAATACATATTCTGTTATATCAAATTGTACAATATACGACAAGTACGATTATTTCACAATGAAACGTTTTAAAAAAAAAACATAAAAAAAAGGAACATTTAAGTAGCTCGCCGTTTCGTTGTTAGCTCCAGTAATTAGAATGATTATCAATGATGTTGTAAAAAGTGCTTCGAAAAAATATCAATAAAATGATTATTGTATTATCATCGACGCTTGAAAAGTCCTAAATTCCAATTTAATAACCTGATGTTTTGAAGTAGATGAAAAATCATGTTCAAAGATTCCCTTACAGACATACATAAAGACGAAGCTCTCGGCTGTGTCAGTCATGCGAAATATGTATTATTGTACATAAAATAAAACCGTTTATTTTATTTTATTAAAACCGTTTATTGGAAATGCTTACACTGAGATTTTCTAAAAGATATAAAATAAAATATTCAAATATAACTAAAAATTTTTCCGACATTTTTTTTATTCTCAGACTTTTTCAATATGCTATACCATATACCGACGTATTCAGTAGGGATGGCAGATAAACTGGATTTGCGAAGTAATCGTATGCTTGTATATCAGCATATATATCAGCAGCTTGTATATCGGTAGGCAGCGGTTTGGCTCTGCCCCTAGCATTGCTGAAGTCTATGGGCGACGGTAACCACTCACCATCAGGTGGGCTATGTGCTCGGCTGCCTACAATGGCAATAAAAAAAAAAGTATATATCAGAATGTGTATCCGACTCTAGATTATTAATCATTAATAACTGTACACAGATATGTTTGACTCGAATGGACACCCAGCTGGTGCTGCCGCTCGTGTACGACATGCAGCTTAACGTCACCCAATTGGCCGACAAACAAAACGCGCAGCCGCACCTGATAGCGGTCAGCCTGCACCTGAAGCGGTAACTATTGCCTTTCTATTTCAATACATATTATATATTATTATAGAGATACTGACATTAATATTAGATTAATGATACAATAAATAAATAAATAAATATTCACTAAAAATTACGCCAGGTTAACTGAAGTTCGTAAAGAACTTGTGTTACGGGTACCAGATAACGGAAATAAATGTAAGATTTTTGTTATACAAATACATATATTTAATATACATCTATAACCCTGAAAAATACATTTTATATTTATCATACAAATATCTTCCCTTGGCGGGATTCGAACCCGCGACCCCCTTGTGTAGTGACCATGTCACTTACCACTACACCAGACGGCCGACAAAACAACAACCTGGTTACTTATAAAGGTAAGTCTGGACTGTCTTCACGCGACGCTGTGAGCTCCGTAAACCTCTTAATATTAGCTATGATTTCTTGTATGTATGTACCCATCTTTCATAACTGTCCAAAAAATCACACCGCGCCACGATTGAATACCACCGTTCGCGGACATCACTAATGTCAGGGACAAGAGGAATGTCAAACCTTTATAGGATCCGATTAATTTAGTCAGAGATTTGAACAAAAATCATTTTAGACGATTCGAGCCGTTGTAACAGTACTGGGAGCTTAGAACTTATATCTCAAGGTGGGTGGCGCATTTACGTTGTAGATGTCTATGGGCTCCAGTAACCACATAACACCAGGTGGGCTGTGAGCTCGTCCGCCCACATAAGCATTAAAAAAAATCAAATGTTTTTATGCACAGGTTCAACGAATTTAATCAATCCCATTCGGAGTGCACCCTGTGGCCGGCGGTGCGCGACCTCGTCACCAACTTCACGCTCCCAGCGGAGGCCGGCGCCGCGCCCCCGCCCCCCTAGCCGGCGCCCCCGCCCCCGCCCGCGCCCTCCTCGCGCCGCGCCACGAGATCCGAACCGCCCGCCGACCTCTGGCACTCACTCTTCTTGTAAACGAACTGCCGATCGTTGCTGGAAACCCTTCCGGAGTGATTTGTGTTGTGAGGTCTTGAGAGACGGACGCGCGGGACAGCGGGCACTCGCGAGCGCGTGTCGGTGCCGCGTGACATTTCAGTGTCTAGTGAACTGTGTTGAACGAAGCGACAGAATAACAATGTGACCCTGGGATGCCTTATAATTGTAAATATTGTTATTTAAGTTACAAAAGTAAGCTACTCTTGAGATAATAATGTGGACTTGTATTATTTTTTCAAGTTTATTAAGTTATAATATACTATGCATAAATTATTTCGTCTGGTCGAAGCACGTAGCGCGTTCTTGCGGTATTTTTTCTTTGGTCGTGTACCTTATATGTTTTGTTGATTGTTATTGAAAATCTTGTAATTATGTAAATTATTAAAGAATAAAAACAAAATTTAACTAAAATAGATTTCGTTCTGCATTTTATTTTTAACCGTTGTTATTCTGGAATTAACTTTTTTTTTCTTTAATTTTACTCTCATATTTCTTGAAAATTCAGATGCCAAACGTCATTCTTCCCATGAAACTACTTGTAAGATTTCTTGCTGACCACTATCACGTCGCAATCGCGTACTCTTACAAACAAAATTATTTGGCTTTTGTTTTGTACTAAATGTATTCCCTTTCTAACATTAACTGAAATGAATCATTTAAAGAGCATTTTTAATGACAAATCAAAGAACCGTAATTTAAGCAAAATTCGTACCTAACGTGTTGCCGCGACCAATGTACCACAGTGGTATATTAAGCATAGATAATACACTTAATATGATAGCTAGTGCGGAGGGTAGCTAGCGTGCAAGCGTAGTGTTTTCAGATATTACATAGTAATCTTAGAAATATTCAATAGTATTCACGGTTTGTTAATAATGGATTGTTAAAAACCCATCTAAGTGTTGTGATAATAGTTTCGGCGGCAATTATGTTTAAGCCACTTGTTTGTAAGCTTGTGAGTAATGCAATCTCCTGGAGAAATTACGAAATGTATTTATATCATGTTACAATGATCTGGAATAGAAAATAATACACATAACGTGATTATTATCTGCGAATTTGTATGACCTTATCTTTAATCAATTTGTTATTTTTGTTGTCTTCAGGAATACAGTTATTTATAGTTGTAAATTTTATTATTGTTAGGACGACTCTGTTATAACACGGCGATGTGAATGCAGAGTTATAAATAAAACAAAGATGTCTGAATTTTGGAAGCTATAAATGTAAATAATATAATAAAATGAATTAAAATGTATGAAGTATTTAATGTACTTAAAATAAACCATTTCCGGTACATACCTACAGTGTTTTTTATTTGCTTATTAGTAAGTGTTTCTTATTTTTTTGTTGCCTCCAAATGACTACCTTAATTAAAAAACCGTGGCCCAAGTAAGATGCTGTGCATACATGTGCCAGGGTGATGGGTCCAGTCTTGTGGGGATGGGAGGTGGTTATATATTTCTCCAATAAAATACGTAGCCAAGACGTGTTCACCAATAAAAACAAAAAGTCTTATCATAATAAAAAGGTTAAAATGAAACCGATAGACCTCTTTATTTATGTAACTATCTGTGGAAGCCTGTACGAGCAGGGTTCCTCCAACCTTTGGTAGGCAGTGGCTTGGCTCTGCCCCTGGCATTGTTGAAGTCCATGGGCGACGTAACCATTCACCATCAGGTAGGCCATATGCTCGTCTGCCTACAAGTGCAATAAAAAAAACCTATGAAATATATTAATAGGACAAAATATATATTTCATCGTTCATCCCCACCTGGATGAAATGAAACAATGATAAAATCCTCTTCATGGCAGTAGCCATCATAGAGCATAAGATATTTGACAGATACCTGAACCTCATTAACGCCATTTCCAAGATAAGCTAGCACACATACAAGTTCAGAATAACATACGGATCGACGGTCTACCGAGCAATATCACCACCCGCTCGGTGGAAGATCGTCCCTTAATCTTTACTAAGGGAACTCTTAGTCCCATAAACTCATCACTTAAAGAGGATTCCTTCAAAATTTAAATTTAAAGAAATGTCGATGCGGTCTTTATACAGTTTTAAACAAATAGTTTCACTATAAAATTCATAATTAATACGCAGTAGGTACGTACCTCGTGTAATTCATCTGTATTAATATTATAAGCGAAATAGCGAATTTGCTTGTTACACTTTCACATTTAACAGGACAAGACTTTAAGCGTTATCAGTGACATAGAAGGAACATAGGGGTACCTAGTTTCCAGAAAAAAGTACTATACACCGGTAGCTTATTCCCTTATTTACGCGAATGAAGCCGCGAGTAAAGTGTTATGCTAGTGATTATCTATTTGAATGACGTATCATATTCTAATATAAAATTATTAGACTATCAAGAAAACTGTCATTTCCAATGAATGAAAGTTTGAAAGTCATTTATTAGGTTTACAAATTGATGAAATTATGATGAAATTACAACAAAGCCGATTGAAATTTGTATAGTTTTTCTTCACGTGTGTTTTCGGAAAATAAAATTATATTGCGAAGGTCAAAATTCTCATAACACAATACGATGACGAGCGCCCGTAGTCCACATTCCTTGGAAACCATACTTACATTTGAGAACAATGATGTAAGTACATACTTTTGTGCGTAATTATTTTATATAATTGTATCGTATCACCAGTCTTTCTGGCAAATCTGTTCATATAAGACATATGAGTCACAGAATTCTTATTTTTTCCTACCTATGCTGATAGCCTTGAGAGGCTGTTTCAGCTTCACCCTAACATGTAGGTAGGCTCACGGCGCTCAAACCGGGAGTGTTGCTAACACTGGCTCTAGCGAGAGCAGTGCTTCGCAAAATCTACCACCGGATCGGAAACGCGACCCACTGAGAAGATCCGGTGAGAAACTCAATGGGCTATGTCTATGGGTTAATTCACTCATCGAGCCCTTCGTCGCAGGCGACGGGTTCGACGAGGACGGTGACCGGGAGAATTCACTTGTATTGCAGCGTAACAGTGAATGGTCTACGGTTTGGTCAACGGCCCATATACCCGGAATGGACAATGCGATCGGTGGAGTTACAACCCACAGACGCTTGAAAGGTCGTCGACGGTTGAGACTCGGTTCTTTAGCAATAGGATGTCTCCTCGCCATGCATTGCCGCGTCACTGCTTCAGCGGTCACTGGAGGCTTGAGTGAGAACTTCACAATAATATGATTATCCATAAATTTCATTTAATTTTATGATGTTCTTCGTGTGAATTTGTTGCAGTAACTTTCGTAATGTACTTAGCACTGGCATGTATATTGCTAGCAAACCCGTTGCGTCATTTCGAAGTTTACCTCGGTCAATGGAGCATAAGTGGACCCGGCCGAGCCTTTCGTATTATACCTATGTTTGACGGTAAAAAACAGTTTTTTAATTAGAAAAAACACACAGTACACTCAAATAATATTAACAACGAATTCCTTTTTTTAGGTATAGGTATAGCTATATGTATCAACGCTATAATACGTGCCATAAACTGTGGCACAGTTGCTGCTATAGCTGCGGTGTATGTCTTATATTCGGTATCGGATGCAAAACTACCTTTCACATACTGCAGGTCTAATTAATGATTATACATTAGCTACTAGAAAGTATAGATTAGTTTTTGTGACTGTACACAAATAACCTTCGATTCTAGCTATTGAGGGTGCAAATTGTTTTCCAGAACCAAACAATTGGACGGAGATTTCTTTACTTATGCATACCTATGTTATGTGTATACCTATACCATTAATAATAATTATTTACACAATATCAGCAGGCTTTATGTGAACTGCAAATGTTATTTAGATGTTTGTTTGTAATAAAATACAACCTTACCATGAAACGAAAAAGCTACACTCTTTCGAAGACATTTATTAAACAGTGTAGTTTTTAAATTTTATTTTATTTCGGACTTTGTCAGTTTATGTACATTTTATTGTTTCTAGATAAATTTTCTTTTTTATTGTTTAAGGGACTTCGAATTAAACTCGTATGAACCCAAAATAATTGAATTTACGTCTTTAACGTTACGTAAGGTATGTATTATTAAATTAAACATTAATTTGGCTGAATTAAAGCTACTCTAACAGTTTTTATTATTCGATTTTAGTTATGTCTACGATAAATGAAAAATGAAAAACGTAGGGAACGTAGGGAAATTGTATGAATTTTTTTTATATAGGTAGACTAGTACTTGGCTCATTAAACAAAAAGGCATCATCGCCATCCGGACACTAGTAATGTCAGCTACGTCGGTAAATCTTCTCTACAGAAAGAGAGGTGGTTTACCCAAGTTGAAGCTAGTTTAATACACTCCGGTGGTAGTGGCAGATATCGTAAAGGGACCAGTATTAACTACATAACATTCACAAAGCATTCACCGTAAAATAAATGGTAGAGCATGCAGAGATCCAAAGTCTCCGCATGCTCGATGGTTCTAGATTGGGATCTTCAACAATTCAAATAGTTTTTCGCTCAACGGAGCCCATAGAGTTAGTGTTGTAGGTACCTACTTATTAACTTCATGACGGAGCCAAATAGTAAATAGTACCAATTGGTAGCAGCCGATCAATTCACTATACGCCTACGAAGACAACCGATGAATATTTATCAAAGAATTTATTGTATTTTCGTAATTGATTCACACTTTTTTTAGAACGGCTTAAAAGTTTCAATTTAATTTATTCAACTTTTCTTTTGCACCTAAAATATGTATTTTTCTTCGGTTATTGTATTTAATTATTTCCAAAATATTTTTAGTCTACATATGCGCTGAAACCTGCCCCTATAAAAGAATATGAAACCACAAGCAATGTGTTGGCTGAAACAATTCACAATCTAAGTGATAGCGCTTGGAGAAATTCTACGGAATCAAGGTTTTTTATTTATTACTAGCTGACCCGGCATACATCGTAGTGCCTCAATCGATAAATAAAAGACCTAAACTTTTGTATAAAATAAACTTAAAACAAACAAAAGGAATCCGTCCGACGGGGGACACATCAAAGGGAAAACAAAATTGTTATTTTTATTTAATTCCGAGAATTTTCATATTTCATATCTACCTTTTAAACCTTCTCTGGACTTCCACAAATAATTTAAGATCAAAATTACCACATCGGTCCAGACGTTCTCGAGTTTCAGCGAGACTAACGAACAGCAATTCATTTTTATATATAGAAGAAGAAGTTAGATAGATAGAAGATTAAAATTTACGTCTCTATTTGTTCTTTTTTTTGAACTAGGTATTTGATTGGCCAACTTGTTACAGTTGTGTCGCTGCTAATTTTATTTCTATTTCAGTATTCAGAAAAAGCCTAATATGAAGTCATTGAAATTAGCGATCTGTAAAGAATCATTTACCGGCAGATATCCACCTATTTACACCACTCCGGCCTACAATTTCTTTTTGTAAGTGGCTAATATATTGTTTTCTAGTTTTGTAATAGCCGAGTTGTGCAGACAGCAACGGTCAGAAGACGCGTCGCATTAGTCGATATCATAAACATATTTATTTATATATCTACTTATTCATTTAGTGTCTGATATCCAAAGCGACCGTGAACTGGATCGTACTGTGAGGCACAGAATTGACGCATGGATGAAATGGCGGCAGGTCACAGGTACCACATGTGACTCACACATTCCTCTTCCCCTAAAAGGGAAGATATATAAGACCATAATAAGGCCTGCCGTCTTGTATGGATCGGCTTGTTGGACCGCTAAAGTGGCGGATGAAAGGCGATTGCATGCAGCAGAGATGCGAATGTTGCGATGGATGTGTGGAGTAACGAGAATGGATAGAATACGGAATGAATATGTTAGAGGAAGTCTGAAAGTGGCACTTGTGACAGAGAAGCTGAGAAGTGCGCGTTTGGAATGGTATGGACATGTAATGAGACGAAATGAAAATGAGATTGGTAAGAAAATGTTAACTATGAATGTGAAAGGATATAGAGGAAGAGGTAGACCTAACAAGAAATGGATGGATTGCGTGAAAGACGATATGGGTAAGAGGGGAGTGAGCGAAGAAATGGTATATGATAAAAGAGTATGGAAGGAGAAAACATTTTGCGCCGACCCCAGGTAACTGGGAGAAGGGCAGGATAATGATGATATCTACTTATTTATTTAGCTACCAAATCAAGGTTTAGTTACGCACTTACGAATGTGAATGTCGCTACTTTTCACTACGATCTCAAATATATATAAATATTTTTTTTTATGTTTTCAAAATAACCAACTTATTTGCCTCGTTACAGTATTGAAGTCGTTCGCCTGCGGCCTGACTTCAGCTTGACGCAATTAAACGTACCACTGTTCATCAGTATTGTTTTTATATGGATAATTATTTGGATATGCATGATTATCGAACGAATATTACACGGTAGGGTGGGTACATAAATAAACGGTACTAGTTTTCAATACTTAAATAGGAAGTAGGTACCATTTATAAGACCTAATATTGTGTTATAATAAATTTTAGTTAATTTGGAACAATATTCAATCATGGTTTTTGATAGTACCCTGGATATGGGTGTTTTTATTGATTATGACTGGAATTTCGAATCTAATCACAATGAAAAAAGCGTACCGAAAAATATTTCAAATTGGCGCAAAAGAAGTTATAGCAGTGAGTTTAATGAGGAAATTAAAGTCCCATATAAAATACCTAACTACTATTGTACACTAGTTACATTGTGCTTACAGGGTATAGCAGACGCTATGGAAGTTGGATTATATATTCACTCAGCGAGCGTTGGTACTGAATTAATTCACGGGAAGGGCTTGAATCATTTTGGTAGTTTTAATGTACAGACTATGCATTCTTAATTTCTTTTAAAAAATACAAAATATAGGGAGATGGTTTATTTTAGCCTCGGGACATATTGATCCAGATTTAAACAATGAAAATGTTTGGCATTCTGTACTAACCCTACTATTAGCGGCGTTGCATTCTGCTGGAGGTACTTTATGTGCAGTTGTAGATTATTTACAGCCAAATTCTGAAGGCATTGTGAACGAACGTGAAAGTAAGTTTATATTAAAATGATCTAAGTATCCACTATACATTGCCTCATGATTTGTAAATTGTTTACTTTTCAGGTAATTTGTGGATTATTCCAATGTTCTCTAAATGTACGTCTGGTGGCAATTATACGCATCTGATGTAAGCCTTTGAAATTACATGAACATGAAAAAACCGTTGATATCTCAAAAAATTTAAAGATGTACTACCACGATTCATAAGTTATGCCATTTCGAGTCAATGGCACAAATATTGCGCTAAAAAGCCTAGAATTTAGTCGAGAATAAATTTTATAAGACACAGCCCACGTAGGTAATCTGAGACGTAAACAGATTACTTGGGAACACATTTATCAAATGTGTCATCTTTGTATGGAGATGGGCGAGAAAGGGAAATGGACAAAACAAGAGGTCACAAGTCATACACATGACACCATTGTTTGGAGAATTTCATTCGCAACGTCACTGATGCCCAATTATGGCACTATTGTACGCTTCATAGGCGGGAGGGTATTTTATATTTTGTGGCTTCAGGCTGTGCGCTTATCTTTTGTTTTAGGTCTTCGTTGATCTTTGGCGGTTTAATGTTCTCGTATGCGACAGTTGCATTTGTTCTACTCAAAACGGCTCTGCACACAATTTTTGAGTATAGAGTCAAATTAGTGTAAGTTATTCAGCGTTTAATCCTGTATTGAAAATTTTATAACTGTTCACGATTCACTTGTAGACGAATGAACCACTGGAACCGGAAATTAATTTGTTATGAACACTTTATTTAAAAATAAAGAAATCTGTCGGCCTTTAAACCGATGATGAACTTTGAAAGACATTTTTTTATTAATGATTTGATTTGAAACTAACAAAATCATAGCCTAATAGTAAATTCACCTAATCGTGACGAATGGGGCAAAGGTGAAGTTGGACCATTTCATTGATTTTCATATTTCCAACGATACCGTTCAGTGATTAACTCATCTAAGATTGGTGCTTCAAAAGCTGACATAATAATCAATTTTGGTATAAACATTTTTTGTTTTGATTTACATTTAATGAATGAGAAGCCTTTAATTGTTTTTTCCTTCAGGTTTGTGGAACAATTTGTGGTTGCTGGTCTTATTCTAAGCTGCATGGCATTAAGTTTACTTTTTGCTACAAATGTTAGTATTTTTTTTAATAATATCCCCGCTGGTGTTTGTTTTCATAAACAAAAAAATAATAATTATTGAAGTACGAAGTGGTAATAGTTTGTAAACACGCCCACTACAAAAAATATTTGATTTTAATAGGTAGTGTATGATGCTTGATTAAAAATTGGATTTTTTGTCTTCGATCACTTCTCGACATCACTATTGTATTTTCAATATTTCTGTTATTAACCGTGGTATCATCCTACTTATTGGACAATTACTTTCCAGACAATAATAAAATCATTTATTGCCTTTCACACAGATTTAGATTAGTACATTTCGATAATTAAAAGAAAAGAAAAAAAAGTGTGTGTGTCCGCTCCGACGCACGACTGGAGTTTACTGGATATAAATATAAATTTGTGTCAGTTGAATACAGTAAAATATGCATTTATTAAAAAAGCTTTATTAATAAATGATTTGTAGCGGGTTATATTCGGGTATCAACCCACTAACAGTTGATACGTTCAGGAATCGAACCCGAACGGCGTCCGGCCACAAGCAAAACGATGTCGGTAAATTAAACGAAACAATACGAGAAATAGTTCTATATTACGACAACACGATACACTACAGATTATTAACAAATTAACGAGACACAAAACAAACGACTAACAAATATATGAAAATACAATAATGAGAGAAACGCGCGATCAGTACGAGGCTTTGTGGCGGACTGCCGGCGCAGCAGCCCGGCGTCACCTGCGATAACGCGGCCGCGCGTTGGCTCCTGATTGGCGCGCGCACGCATCACCATGGCCAATCAGGCGCATAACGCATTTCGTGTGACATGCTATACTCTCTAGTACGATTTTGGTCCCCATAATTTTCATACCCCGGGCCTATATATGTAAATCGATTCTTAAGGAGTAAACTCCAAAAAGGCAAAAGGAGGTGGCTCAGCTAATGCTAAGTAAAGTAAAATAAAAAAAAGTAAATACCTACTTTAATATTGTTATTTACTGAAATCTAATTTGATGCGTTCACGCAGGGAGGCATAGCATTGTTGGAAGCGGTTGAATCGATAAATACTGGCGTCACCATGCCCTTTGTGTGTTTAATGGAACTCGTCGGAATGTTGTACGTGTATCGCAGTCACGACTTCATATCCGATCTCAACTTAGCCATGGAAGAGGACGCCTGTTCGACACGTATCAGCGCGCAATGGCAATTTATACCTTTAATAGTTCTGGTTAGTTTATCAGACGTCTTCAATTGTGGCAATAAAAAAATCGTAAATTAATAATTTAAATAATTTTGTTGATTTTAATAAGTTGAACGGTATTAAGAACCAGTGCAGGGTCAAGTCGCAGAGTAGTCTAAGCATATTATTTCCCACAAGCGGCCCGCTCCGGCTCCGCTCGGGTCTTTAACAAAAATTTCAACGATACATATTTGACGTTGTTTTATTTTTTAAAACAAAAGAACACTTATAGCAGCATAACTATAATAGTTAGACATATGCTGTCGCGACACTTTTTGTAACTAATAATGTGTTCTACAAAGTCGTAGTACATTATTTTATTCTATCATCAATAGTTTTCGCAGGGCACGCGATGTAAAGAATATTTTAGGTAATTTTTTTACACCTTGGGTTACATTGTTGGAGTTTTAGAAAGGATCCTTAAATTTTTTCAAAAAAGATTATAGCCTATGTCACTTGAGAATAGTGTAGCTTCCAAACAGTGAAAGAATTTTTCAAATCGGATCAGAAGTTTCGGAACCTATTCAATACAAACAAACAAACAAACAAACCTTTCCTTTTTATAATATTAGTATAGATGTCATCTTTGAAAACGATTATTACATCACGTTATACTGATACCACTTTAGATTGATATTTCATTGAAGATTTAACAAAGCTCTAATTTAGCACCACTTTGATAACTTTCAGGTTACGCTCATAGGAAAAGCTTGTATGTTATCTGAGACCGAGATTCCAAAGTACTTCATTATTATGGCGATAGTTCCCCTGAGCAGTGTGGTGCTAGCGGTGCCGCTGCGAGCTTGCCACAACGCATACGTATTCCTGCGCTCTAGATCGAGACGTTAATCTTTATTTACCATGGCAATATTAAATTTATTTTGGATCACTCACGAAAATTTACATTTTTCTTTTGTTAATAAATTACATTTTCCTTTTTTACTGGTGGTAGGACCTCTTGTGAGCCCGCACGGATAGGTACCACCACCCTGCCTATTTTTACCGTGAAGTAGTAATGCATTTCAGTTTGAAGGGTGGGACAGCTGTTTTAACTATACTGAGACCTTAGAACTTATATCTCAAGGTGGGTGGCGCATTTACGTTGTAGACGTCTATGGGCTCCAGTTACCACAACACCAGGTGAGCTGTGAGCTCGTCCGACTATATAAGAAAGAAAAAAATTATATATTCCGGTGCTAAACTAATTAGATGCAAGAGGAGAATTTAAAAAAGCCAACAGATTGAAAATAAATGTTTATTTCATCAATCACTTAAAATGTTCATAAATATAATCTTTGTACAATGCATTAACATGCGTACACATGATTCTGATACTGTAGTCTTGAGACTTACGTTTCAAAACGATCATGAGCTTCTTAAGACGTGGGCGATGAAAGCTATTTACAATAAAACAATGTCCACTGTTCCTAATTAATGTAATGTTATATATTCGAGTAACTGAATTCGTTTGATTAGGAACGTTTCACAACAACAGCAGACGAAGACATTTCCGACGACTACATTATTTTAAATATCACATTATGTACATATTATTATCCAAGATTAAATCTCCGTAATATCAATGATATTATATCAGGCTCGTGTGACAAGTTAACACATACAAACATCTAACAGCTCACGAAATACTTAAGATATTCAAACCGGTTACCGGGAAAGTCACCCATTTCATTAATAATCCAAAAAATTTATTACAAGAACGAACATGATAAAATGTTCACATAACCGCAAGATTCTGATTCAGCACCTAAACTATGGACTGCTCGAATGTGAGTCGAGCCATACTAATATATTACATTTGGATATTTGCATAAAATAATTTACGTGTGACTTCTTGAAGCATTTGTTAATATCAGAGTCTTGCGGTTTCATAAGTTACGACACTATTTATTTTTTTAAATTACAACATTTAATAAGTTCAGAAATATAATTACACGAATATTCGAATCAAACTAGTCGGCGGCGGCGACATACAATAATACTTTAAATAACATTATTCAAACCCGCGAATCAAATTCACTTGCTCCTCAAAAGGACTCGGAAGGCACTCCCGGCAGCGCGCTCGACGACCCGACCCGTCGACGCTTCACCGTCCCACTAACGAACATTCTAGACCGATCGGCACCGAATCACAAACGTACTGAGTCAGCTCGCGTCGCGGCGGGCGGGCGTGCGGCGAGGCGTCAGAACCGACGCAGCGCGTGCGCGGCGCCGGGCGCGGCCTTGCGCGTGGGCTGCACCGACAGCGGCGCCACCAGCACGCCGCCCGACGCGCCCGCCGCGCCGCCCGAGCACCCGCCCATCTCCTGCCATCAGAACAACGCCAGTGTACTCTCGGGCTCGGCTGTGCGGCTCCCTGAGCGGCCGCCGGGGACCAAACTCACGTTAATGTTGTTGCAGCTGGCCAGTCTCATCTGCGCGAGCTGCGACGCGGGCGTCAGGTTGGACGTCGAGCCGAACGGCGATATCATCGACGACATGGCTCGCTTCAGTTTCGAAGGGGTCTTGTTGAACGATAGAGCACGCCCGACCTGTCGATATCAACTTATTATTATTATTTGCATTAATGTAAAATTACAAACTTAAAATACTATGAAACCGCAGATGACATTTTACTGACAACCATGAACTATCAGCACCAATAGCGGTTAGTGACGTTTTGTTACGATCGGAAAGCTATCTCAGCGGAATGTACCCGAGCACCGTTAGAAGTGTGGTAGTGGGACAGATGTAAGACGACAGTACGAATGAATGATGTGGTTATGATCGACGCAATCGAGCACGGCACGCTGAAGGAGCACTGTTACCGCCAGCGTCAAGAAGCGAAGCGTTAGTTTTAGCCGCCCGCCCCGACGACCGCAGCCCCGCCGCAAGCCGGCCCGCGTGATGCTGTACGGGAGTCGTTAGCGATGAGCGCGGTCGGTTAGTGCGGAGTGAGGGCGGCGTCAGACGTCAGACCTGTGCGAGTAAGTGAGCGCGCAATACCCAAGTGTCTAGCAGGCCGGCCGCCGGCTCCGAGCGCAGCCACCCGCCCAGCCCCGCCAGCGCCTCCAGCTACAACACAACACCGCTGCGCTACTACCGTTACTATCTCACACCCTACCAACCTACGCCGTCCTTCTCCCTCATTCGACCACGGTTTTAACACGGAAACAAATATATCATAATATGCGTTTTGACTTTTATGACAATATGAAACGTCTAATGATTATATCAGATGTGCAAACTATGTACGATAATCGTTCGTTAAAACTTCAAGTATTCGACTTGAATATTTTAACGGTAAATTTCGATTCCATGCCTTAGTAGCGACGCGTGACGAAATATATGGTTTGCAGCAGCATTTCGACATTTCTATGTTACGCGTTTGTTGTTATTGTCTCTTGTTCGTACGAAACAAGCTAAGCTACATACAATAATACTAAGACTTAATCATGCTGTAATTATAAACATTTCAAAACTAATTTAGAACTAATTAGAATATTTCTACTAACAAACTATTGTAGAGAACCTAAAGAGATTTTGTATTCGTCCATATTTTTGTGTCCACGAGTGTATAATACATTACAACATTCAAGTAACATTGAATATGGTGTTCGTGAAATTGTGTTACTGCGGCTTTTGCAATTTATTATCAAAAAACAAATTTACTATGTACAGTACAGGAAATTAATTCGTACACAACCCCTACCTTTATTCTGGTTCTAGCTGCGAATTTCGAGACTTTGGATAGAGTGCTAAGGGCGAGGTCACTAGTGTCGATGTCCATTTGATGCGACTCTAGGCATGCCAGGAATTTGTCCTGCAAGAAATATGCAATGGATGAGTGTCGAGTACAAGGTATTCCGGCCGGGTTCCCGGTGCTGCTAAAACTACACAAAATATCAAATATTCGGTGACTATCCGGTATCCAGCCTATCCGACCATGTTTCCACTATTCGCCCAGATACCGGATAGTAAACCAGTATCCGGCCGGATTTCGAATAGTAAAATTTAAGAAAATCTCATGGTTATACAAAAGGCAAATAATACCACAATAGGTTATGGACAACTTTAATTTTTATAATCGCACGTCAAAAGTGATTGTTTTATTAATTAGTTTGTTTAATACTCAAAATTAACAAGTGGTGGCAAATTGTGGTGAATGAATACTAAATCGTCGTCGTACCGAGTCGTCGCGATCTCCGCTGACGAGCGACAACACCCGAACGCGCACGAATATTTCCGAAAGGGCCGAATATCCGGCGCTCCGGCCTCGCTGCTTGCCGAATATTCGGTATCCGGTATTCGGCCAAACCACTATCCGTTTCATCTCTAATTAAGAGTACACAATTTCCTACAAGTACCCGTTTCGTATTTTTCGTTCGATTAAAATATTTCATACAAAATAAGACGGAGATGTTACTTGAGGGAGCAAAAATAAATACAATTTTAATTTAAAATCATAAACTATAATAGGTAAGTATCATACTAGCAAGAGTGTAGCAAATTGACTAAACGTGCATATCAAAATTTAATTTCTAAACTATTTAAAGATATCTAGTTACATACATGACCTAGTACAACAACACTAGTAATGAGACAAGACACATATTATTATTATTATCCAAACTGGATACTTACAGCATCCGCCTTACAAACGGTGTTCGCCATTTGTCTGCAGAGTTGCCTCAGGAAATGTGACTTGTCTACCGTTTCATCAGTAATCATAAACGAATACAGCTTTTCCTTGAGTTCTTGGTTATTCCGGCACATTAATGCGAACACATTGTGACAATCTGAAATTTCATAAATTTTGTACAACATTAACAAAATTATAATTTGATGGTTTTCTAAAATGTTGAAAAAAAATTCATTTTTGTATTGATCTATTATTCCGCGGCGAGAGTTTCTGAGGAATTATTTGAAACTCTTCCATCATTTCCTTGCGACCAACAACCGCGATCGAAAAATAATTTATCCTCTTTGTGTGATGTCATTTATTGCTTCTGGAGGTAATGTTTATCGGATACCGTTTAGGTCCCTGAATGCTATCACATGTTCTTCTTTAATTGAGATTACAAAAAAAAATATTATAGGTAAGCATCGATGATGATTCATTATGTTTGGTAACCCGTAACCACTAACATTCTTTCCAGTGGCACATAAGCCTCTGAAAATATAATATCACCAAGCACAGGGGAACATGTGAAACGCAAAGAAAATCTTTCGATTCAATTTTCTTTATTTCCTTAGATGGGTCGCATAAGTCTTTGCGGATGCAAGACACGAGGCTTGTTAAATCGTACCACCACACGAAATTATGTCAATTTAACAAAAGAATGAAAATGTACGAAAATGATTGTTTATTACCTTCAGCTTCTCTAATGTCGACAACTCGCTTCACAGTACTGAGTGGCATTAAGGATATATGTCTGTAGGGTTTGCTTGACCCTATCCTCATGGTGCCCGTGCCATTCGTTGGACTTTTGCTATTGAAAGCCTAAAAATATTATTATCATTAGAGGCGGCCATCGTTTTACACAATTATGATAATACATTTGAGAATTCGACCTCATGTCTCAAGGTGGGTGGCGGTATTCATCTATCAGAGTAGAGAAGAGTCACAGCCTCCCTAAGCATTTCCTAAAAAAAATTTGATTGAATATCAAGGATCCTACTGAGCAGTTTCCTAAAAACGGAGCGCGAGACTGCTCTGTGCCACCAATAAGAGTGTGTGTGAGTGTACACACCTTAATACATACCTTAATATGAGGTGCCGTAAGCAAAATAAATGCTATTATTTTTGTTAATTAGTAAAAAAAATGATAACTGTCTTAGGATCGACCTGAGACCTATTAAATTTAATTGTAAGAAAAAAAAAGTTTCTTTAGTGTGGTATTTTGAATAGTTTTACTTACTTTAGACCTCTTCTTGCAAACTTCCATAGTATCCGTAAACAAAAACAATACTAAGTGATCCCCTCTTCCTGAGAGTTCTTTAGATAGTTCTACGACTTCGCACCGCGAAACGAAAGACCGATGCGACGAAACAAGATGAGCCTGTAGAAATGTTATAGTAAGAATATTTTTTTTAGATCTCTCCTTTTAATACTGAATACCGAAATCAGAAAGGTTAATCTTCATGTTTAAGATAATTTTATTACTAACAGAAATTATCAGATATATAATTATCGTGACTGTGAAACGCATTAAAAGTAGTAAAATTAGTATAGTATGTATATGAGAGAATAAAAGAATATTACATATTCCTAATTTAAATAAATCCCTCTTAACAGTCCTTGATTTTCAACTTTACTGTATAAACTTTATATAACGCGGTTTAAATTTTACTAAATGTGACGTCATTAGTGGTTATAGCAGGCGACGAACTTATCACACAATATAAATTAAAATACAACAATTAGCCACGTGTGACATCATGCGTTGTGATTGATGTTACAAAGTGTTACGAAATTTTATTTGGTAATGTAAAATTTTGATTATAAATATTTTACAAAAATAATTAATCAATGGTTTGATATCTAATTTAATTTATTAACATTTTATTATGATTGCATTTTATTTACTTTAATTATTTAACTAAGTTAGTGTTGTTGTTCTTTTGCACCTCTTATAATTTGAATTCGAAAAAAAATATCCAACAAGATTATTGAAAGGTGGGACGACCCAGTTTTACAGAAATTTCCAGTTATCCTTTATATAAAAGACAGTTGGCAAGGTAATATTTATAATCAAACAGACAGGTATATAATCATAACGAAATTAACTTTTCTCTCAAAATTTTTATATCGATGGTTAAATACAGTAAGGGCATATTACCGGGCACTGGTCGATCTCGTTGTATATGTCGAACATCTGCAGCTGCCCCTCGGTCTTGCGCTTGTCCTCGTTGATGTGCGACATGACCTCGCGCAGCCCGGCCAGCGCCTTGGTCAGCGCCGCGTGGTCCGGGTTCGACTTGTGCGTGTGCTTCAGTATATCTGCATTTGTTACAAAACGAACGCTATTATATAACGGTATTTTACCGGTTGGTGGCGGCATATACGTTTTTGACGTCTATGTCTATGGGCCCCGGTAAACATTTATTATCAGGTGGGTCGTAAGGTCGTCCAGCAAACTATGCAATAAAAAAAAACAGCTGTTACAGTTTTGTAATCATGGACGACTAAAAAACTGTAAATTATTAGAACCATAGGAAATAATATTTTATAATGATAATAAAAAATTGGACATTAAAAAGTGAGAGTACTTTTAATTATTTACTATTTAATTACTGAAAAAGACAAAAGAAAAAACGAATAAGAAAGTTTTCGATGACTTCCATATGAATTTATACATGTTTTTTTTTTTTTAATTAATAAACCTAGAATTGAAAGAACATTTATTAGAAAATATAATATCACTACAAAATGAATACGGTACGAATGAAATGTTATACCCACCATCAAGTAGTAAGCTTATGCTAGGTAATCGCTGCACTGGTCTTATAAGTAGCTCCTGTAAACTTTGTCTACCACACTCTGGTTTTGTTTGACATATTTTCAGGAATGCATGAAATCTGCAATAAAAAGTAATGATATAATTTATTTGATAAATTATGACATATTTTAGTATGTACATTAGAATTCTTGTTTACTAACACAACTAGGTAGCCTAGTATCGTTGCTACACAGTATTTTGTCTGTATAAACCGAAAGTGAGTGTTGATTTCCTCTTGGAGATGTGGGCTCAAGTGTCAACTGTATTACAAAGGTCTTTCCAAAGCTTTCAAACTGGAATTACTTACTGACTCACTAGTGTTTACAAAATCATCGAAATTCTACCATAATTACTGACACGTCAAGATTTAGATAATTTTCTTGTAGTTGTTGACAATTTGAAAAATATATTTCCGTAAAAGACAAAGTATACGTCATAAAACATCACGCTATTTAACTGTTGTATAGTTGGGTATCGGTATTGCAGTATGTAATTTCTTTCCCGTTAAAGTTGTTGCTAGGCATCTTGCACTATGCTACCTATTTTATACTATCCATTTTAGGATGTGTAGTACCTTGGGTTCTCACGGTCGCATTGTTGCAGCATTTCTTTTGTGTTCTCGAAGAAGTTGACGAACGGTGGGTACGCCTTCACCATGTCGGGTGTGTACTGCAGCACGAGCTGACCTATGCTCTTCTCTTCGCTCCAATGTGCTTGCGTGTACCGGAGTTCTTCTAACATGCGCCTTAAAAGCACCTTTACTTTAATAACACTATTAAATATTACTAACCATTATTTTATTAATATTTTTTTCACTTGTGGACGGCACTCTGTCAACTTGATGACCAGTCATCATCAGTCCTGAACTTCAGCAGAGCTAGGGGCATAACCTAACCGCTGCCTTCTAAATTAAATACTCACTGATGAAGTTCATAGATCGGTGGTAAATTTCCAAATATTATTTTTAGTTCTGTATTATTGAGCAGTGCTTGATTTTTCCCGTTACTATTGTCTTCTTCAGCCATTTCTTCTAAGGGTTGCTTGAACATCTAAAAGCAAGATGTTTTATTAAAATAAAGTTATTTTTTCATAAAAACAAATAAAATATCTATAGATCTTACCGTAACTATTGTATGTAATATTCCAACATAATTCGACTCTGTCTGGAGCAACTCCATAAAGACTTGTTGTCGCGGAGACATCAATTTTCGGACCACATTGTCGGAAACTTCGGATTCTAGATAAAGGATTACAAATCAGCACTTTTTTTTTTAAATATTCCTCATTTGGAATATAAATTGAGGCAACGTAGGTTACCTTCAAGGATAGGTTTTCCATCAGGAGAAGTTGTACAGTCGAGCAGAGTCCTAGAAAGGTTGAGCAGCACAGCATCGCCCACCGAGGAGCGACGTTTGTGCAGTGCGGAGTCGCCACCGCGTAGTTTCCGTTTTCGCAGCCGCTGTAGGTGCGCGGGCGTGCACGCGCCGCCCGCCTCCTCCCCGCCGCCCGCCGCCCCCGCCGCGCCCGGCGTCGCCACACCGGCGCCCGCACCACCTATAGACGACCGCCGCGACATCTCCTCCAGGTACTGCCGTATACAAAATTCGTTTTAATTTTACATAATAATATATCATTATTTATAATTTCTCTTTAAAATCATTATTTTCATATATATTATTGGCCACAACAAAAAACTATGTTCCGAAGATTTTAGAATCCAAACGGTAAAATGTACTATTGAAGTAAACGGGTTGGTACTAGTCTTCTTTGTATCTTAAAGGAAACATGTCTATCGGCGTAAAGGGTGGAATAGTTATTATGCGAATCATTGAATCAATTCAATATCATCAAGGTGTACTGCGGTATTAAAGTTGTCGAGCTTATGTATGGAAATTTGGTGACCGTATAATCTAAAAATGACCAGTTACTTCATCTGCTGAACCACAGTCACAAACTGACACTTAACACGGAGTCTAAATTACTTACATCTTTGAAAAGAAAATCTCCCTCATCTTGTGCCTCTTCATTTTGCACGGATGCCCAAAACCATTCGGCCTTGACGACGTGAACACGCGATGAGCACTCGGGAGCGACCACGGTGTTGTGTTCGTCGACCACCTAATAGTGAAAATAAATTGAGATGTATTTCGAATAAGTGCTAAATGACCTACCACCAACCTAAAAATAATTCTTCCCGATAACTGTTCCACTGTAACGTTAAGGGCATACAGTTAAGTGCAGGGCTTAATATTATAATTTATAAAGCACTAATTATCTCTCACGTAATATGAATATTCGTAGGCATGCAACCAGACCGAAACGTATAAAACAAGGGAGACCTCGATTCGAAGAATGGCAGCGACGAGTCCAAATATTTTGTAATGTAAGCTTTTTTAGATTTTAACATTTAGTAGAAGTGAATAAAATGGTGTTAGTACCGGTAGCGATATTCCATGGCATTGCGAAATGGCGCGGGCGTCTTGGATGGGAGGCGTCGAGGCGGGCGGCGGCTGCTCGAGAACGAACGGGGGCGCGGGGACGGAAGCGGGGGTGGGAGAGGGACGGACGCTCGGGGAGGGGGGACCTGCGGCTTTCCGCAACTCTATGCTGCCGCAAATAGAATGACGCTGAGCGCGCAACCACACACTCTGAGGAGTTTTGAATACAGCAGAATCATCCAGTTCATCAAGATCTGCACGTTTGACTGGTGGAGTCATTTCAGTACTGTCTACTGTATCGACTTGCACGGGAGAAATATCAAACTTCATTTCGTCCAGTTCTCTTTTCGGTGTTGAAACATTTTTCAAATTTGAAGGCAAGTGAGACGGATCCACTTCGACTGTATTGCGTTCGGCTCTCTTCTCGTATTTCTTTTTACGTTCACTTCTAAATGACGCGGTAAATGATTTGACGCTTCGTCTTAATTTAGAAGCAGACTTTGCTGTTTTAGAACTTCTTAACGATGCGAACGATATATCAAAAAAGCCCGATTGTTTAATCGTATTCATAGAGCATATAGATGCGTTATCGTCTTCCGATCTGATGGGAGAAGAGGTAGAAGCGATGAATTCCCCAGCTGGATCTGTTGGTTTAACACTTTCTGGACTTACTGGCTCCACTATTATGTCGCCTGTGGGTTTGGTGAGAGATTCCCTTTTAGATTTTTTGAAAATCATTGGTTTAGTCTTAAATTTGAACGAATCTTTAATTTTCAATCTTTTTATGGATTTACAATTATTCTCATCACATTTATCGGGAGATAAATTCACATCGACGGTGCTTTCTTGAAAATTTGTATCTGTCGAATTGCGACTTCTTTTTTTACCAGATGAAATAGTGGTCGTAGATTGTTGCAATTCTTTATTTCGAGTGGGGGTCGGCAACAAGAATTCACCTTTAGTATCAAGATCACATAAGCTCTTAGTGAGAGAAGAATGGAGGGAGCCAACTTCGTTGAAACAATCGACTAGATTAAATACATTCATAGATTTGTTACGAAACACTTCTCGTTTATCTTTTACGTTACATTTCAAAGATCCGTGGCTCGTTTGGGAATCTTTGTTTTCTTTGCCGCCATTACTATGTTTTCGGTACTCTATACGTTCACCGTGTGAACTATTTTTTTCTTCTTTATAAGAATAAAAATCGTCTGTATACGATTTCCCTACTAAACTATCAGCTAATTTATCTTTGGATGTGTATTGTTTTTCTCGAATTTCACTTAAAGCTCGCTGTATGCGTTTGTCCTTTTCATCGTGGAGAACTTCATGGCTAGTATCGGCTGCATGCTTGACAGGACTAGCGCGACATCCTGACAGCCGTGCCGATAGTCTACGGTATAACGAAGTCTTTGGAGTGGGCTGAGAACGATTGGGAGTCGATCGGGATGGTTTAGAAGAGGAGCTCGGAGTGGTCTGGTGAGGCGATAGGATAAGCGAACGACCGAAAGTCTCCCCATTGGCCATAACCTGAAACATGTGTGAACACACCACGCAATGATGTAATGAAGCCATTCCGATACAAACATGCATCACGATTATTATCGTGATTAAATAGTTAGAACATAAAGAAGCTGGCGTCTGTTCTATGTTAATGTAATTGGTCAAGAATTATTTTATCTCGACCAAAATAATGAATTGAGTTGTCAATATTAATTAATTTTACATAAAAAAATATATATATATATATCAAAAAGTTCTACTGCACTACTGTAGGTTCGCTAATAATAAAATATTGACAGCAAACAGTGAAAGCACAATACTGAGTCGACCAAACAGTGATTATAGCGCAGTGTTCACATCAGCAAATGAAATGTGTTCTGTGTATGTATGTGCGCAAACTACAGACTACGGTCATTAAAACCTGTATTTTTTTTTTTTTAAGTATACATTCTATAGATAATGTTTAAAAAAACAATGGGTCGACTTTACGTCGTGCGGTGAGGAAAGAGAGGGACGAAATTCTAGTGCTCGCTAAGCGACTCTTAAGCTGTTACAGAACTAAAAGTATCCACAATAGGTAAATAACACATGAAAGTATGAATGGCCTTACACTCAAATACCAGAATGTGGGACAGTGGTATCTATCTGAGTTAAACATTAGCATAACTATCTGTCGTTTGATTATGAAACTACAACTACCGACATTGAGTCGTAAAGCAGCTGATAATGTGTGTTTGCAATACTACTTAGCCGTTCAATGTGTTACACAAACAACGGCTGACATTGACAATGTTGCTAAATAGAGCTCCACTATCAAAATAGTTAATGAATTTAAAAATATATCTGAGTACATTACTGAATATCTAGATGACAACTAATGCAATGTAAATAAAATAATAGCTGGGTTCCCGAGGATAATACGTGCATACTACATGCTGATTTCACAACGCTAAGCTTGATGACTAATGTGCAAATAAACTAAAAATAAACTGTGAGAATTTTATAAATAAACAGATACGCAATGCATCCAAAAGTTTATATACATATGCATATGCTACAGAGTTGAATAAAATATAATAATAAAAATTACATCTGTGGGTCATATAGATTTATACATCAGAGATTTAAGATCAGTGTCATATAACACTGAAGTGCTTAAATGTCATTTAGAATAATATTATATGTGTGAATATTAATAATATATATTATCTATGTAACTATTATAGAGCAATATTTCTCAAAATAAGAACCATAAAATCGGAACTGCTTTTTAGTAAAAATTATTTCTATACAGATTTGGGTCTAATTTTTTTATTTCTTAGTTTTGTATGACAATCTTTAGATCATAAATAAGAAAACAAATCATAATTTTTTTCTCATAGTTATAAACTAAAAAAATCATTAAAGCCAATTACAAAATGAAATATTCTATTACAGGTTGGAACCTATGAACATCCGACTTTATGCTTCTAATATCTGAGATTTAACAATGAGAGCTGCCTTTACTAAATTTAGTGCTTTTTATTCAATAATCAGACAAGCATTCTCTATCAAATATTGCCTGCCTCTCTGACAGAATATAAAACAGTTGAGACAATATATTAATTTATTAAAAACAAAACAAATTTATTTGTGTTTTGTATGTTCTTGTATTTTATTCTTGAATAAATTCAATGCCCTTAACCAATTGGAACTATTCTTTGAGGATTTGATCACATTATTAAATAATTATGAATAAATGTTACTTACGACGTGCGTACAGTCCGGATCGTCGAGTGGACAGACGGCGCCTCCGTTGCTGGCGAGCACCTCGCCCATGTGTTGGGTCTCATCCTCCGGGAAGCCGACGAAGCACACCCTCGCTCCGGCGAAAACTTTCAATTTATGTTCTTTCTGTAACACAACGTTAATCTCAAAATTATTAACATATATATTATGGTAGGCAGCGGCTTGGCTCCGCCCCTGGCGTTGCTGATGTCCATGAGCGACGATGACCACTTACCATCAGGTGGGCCGTATGCTCGTCTGCCTACAAAGGCAATAAAAAATAAATAAATAAACATACATATGACTATAGAACTACAATATTTTCTAGAAAATACCCTTCTCGTACAGAATAGATTTTAAATAGACTTTATTAGGTCATATTCAAATAATATGATCATTAAACAAGATTTAAAACGACCATGAATGATGATGTCAACAAGGAAGCAGACATTATAATTTCGAATATTTGTATATAAGGTTTCCTTTAACGACAACTGTTCTGTGATTTCAAAGACACTAATTTTTTGTTGTATGTGTCTCCCTCTAGAATAGCACCACCGCATCTCTTCTCTTGGATGTCGTGAAAGGCAAGTAAGGGATTCACTGGATAATGGGCAGCAGCGTTCTATGAGTCCACCTACCAATCTACTTTACCTACCTATGCTACAATCTGTACCTACAGTTGAGTTCGTCGTAAGCTGCGGACTATAGTAAAAAAAATTCACAAGATATCTAAATATTCATACGTGAAGAAAAAACTGTGTACCCCTTTTTACGAAAATTGTGTGGACAGAGGACTATGAAATTTCCCACACTTATAGAGAATATAGAGTTATGTATAAAGTAACCATGTATTTGACACACACACACACACACACCCATACTATATACTCTTTTGTTTATTGTTAAAGTCTGTGGTCAAATTCAGAATAGGTTAATATTGTTTGTCTTCAATATTATTTATCTATAGTGTAGCCTTGGCGAAATTTGTTATTATAGACGTCGTATGATTTTCTTTCACAATAGATCCTTTATAATGTTCAAACTTATAATTAAATTAATTTTAGTCGAATTTCGACTACCAGTCGGCCACTAGTAATTATTTATAGCCGATCCGGTGGACCGAATGGTAAACAGTCGACGTCGCCCTAAACACATCATAAAAGTTAAATTAAGTAAAAATAAGACATGACTTGAAGGTCTTAGTTTCCAGGTCATAAAATTCCTTTAAAAAAAAACCACCGGTATGTCTCAAGAGTGAGTATACTTACAATTATGACATCGTCGGTCGCGAGACAGGCGGGGTCGTCTCGCCGTTCCCAGCACGCGTCGACCCAGGAGCGCGCGAGCACGGGCAGGCCGAACCCGGACGCGTACCTGTACTTCTCGCCCGTAGCTGCGGCCGCGATCAGGTGCGTCACCTTGCTCGACATGTCCTTACGGATCGAGCCGCCCATGTAGTGTATTAACGTTATCAGGTACGTCTGTCAACATTCAACAACTCTATTAATGTTTGACATTACCAAATTTTTTTACACGCTTTATATTAGCTTCACTTGTATGTATGTTTGTAACTGACTCCTTTAGACGCGATTTCGACCCATTTTAATCGGCCAGATTTCATTCAAACTTTGTAGATTTATCGACGACCGATGACAACACACTAATTTGATAATTAATATTATAAAGCTGAAAAGTTTGTTTGTTTGAACGCGCTAATCTCAGGAACTCTTGGTGCGATTTGAAAAAATATTTCAGGGTTAGATAACTAATTTACTGAGGAAGGCAATAAATAGGCTATATAACATCACGGTAAGGCCATACAAGTGGAGCACCAATAAAGAATGTTTCAAAATAGAGGTTTAAATAGCTCCTTAACATTCTATAATTCAAAAATATTTTCACTTTCTACGTAAATGAAGTGGGGGTAAAATTTAGCGTTATGCCAAAGTAACTGTTCCACGCGAACGGAGTCGCGGGCAAAAGCTAGTTAGCTTATTTGCCGTTTCTCTATACCCATGCCATACCATAAGGTAGTACCCTATACCGTCGCGTATATACGTAAATTTTGTTTCTAGCACATGTAACTTCAGCTAATTTTATATAGGAGTAAAAACTTAATTTATAAAAATAAAAGTCTATGCGTATGCGACACATGTTCGCATCGGTATCTACCTTCCTTAAAGACTCCGAAAACGGCAGGACAGAATTCAGATTTAGATGAGATTCTCAGGAAACCTTCAGATTGACCTTACGAGTGATCTTGTATGATTTGGTAGCGCTCGGATCAAAGTTAAATAAAAGATCGTTCCGCAAACCTGATCGCGTTTAACTAGTAAGTAATAAACTAAAAACACGCTGTTATGGCAAGCCGAAGTAAAAAAATTATATTTTTTTTACCCTATTGATCCTGGTCAACAGTTTAGGGCAAAGTAGTAAAAATATTGTGATATCATCGGTCCTTGGTACGCGTGTACATCTTCAAATTGGTAAAAACGAACATTGGCATTTGTTACATCAGTATAGATTATTTTGTTGGTACAGTTTTTATTTTTATTGCTTAGATGGGTGGACGAGCTCACAGCCCACCTAGTGTTAAGTGGTTACTGGAGCCCATAGACATCTACAACGTAAATGCGCCACCCACCTTGAGATATAAGTTCTAAGGTCTCACGGCTGCCCCACCCTTCAAACCGAAACGCATTACTGCTTCCCGGCAGAAATAGGCAGGGTGGTGGTACCTACCCCTGCGGACTCCCAAGAGATCCTATCACTAGTTTTTCAAAATACTTACAAGTTCATCCTTTTTCCTAAATCCGGAGAAACATATGACGGCGCCCCGCATGGCCAACGAGTAGAGCGGCCGTGCATTTGCTGGAGGAGGCTCGTCGCGTTCCGCCAGTTGCAGAACTGCAGTCGGTCCCAACACTCTGTTTACAAAACATTTTCAAGTTCAATTGCGATTTTTATTTATTAAATCTAAAAAAAAGTCTTAATGAAGTCATCGTGGCCTAAAGGATAGGACGTCCGGTCCATTCGTGTTGAGCGATGCACTGGGTGTTCGAATCCCAGGCGGGTACCAATTTTTCTAATGAAATACGTACTCAACAAATGTTCACTGTTGACTTCCACGGTGAAGGAATAACATCGTGTAATAAAAATCAAACCCGCAAATTTTAATTTGCGTAATTACTGGTGGTAGAACCTCTAGTAAGTCCGCGCGAGTAGGTACCACCTCCTTCCCTATTTCTGCTGTGAAGCAGTAATGCTTTTCGGTTTGAAGGGTGGAGCAGCCGTTGTAACTATACTTGAGACCTAAGAACTTATATCTCAAGATGGGTGGCGCATTTACGTCGTAGATGTCTATGGGCCCCGGTAACCACTTCACAACAGGTGGGCTGTGAGCTCGTCCACCCATCTAAGCAATAAAAATATATATATTAAAATTCAAAATACATATACTTAATATTATATCTACTTCTATTATAAAATAACGTGAATGTCTCTATTTGTTTACTACTTGTTACACTATGAATTACTCTAGAATTTATCGCAAATGAACATTCTCAGAAAACAGCATTCATTCTTATTAATTCAATTATAGAAGACAAAACTACTTTGGATTAAGTGAAAGAAAATCATAATATTTAATGTTTACGCTGGAATAAATAAAGCACTTCCTAGATATTTTAGTTTGTGTACACGCATTTCTGTTGAATCCGTTTCGAAAGCGAAAAAAAAATATGTATATTTGTAGAATAATTTTATTAATAGGGAACACGATTTGTTCCCGGAGACATGAATTAAAACGTTCGTGGATACAGTGGGCGTTAGTTAGTGCGTGACGTTGTTCGAATGGTTCTTCGGATCAAACATGAACGCTGGGTGCGCCACTCGACGCGTCGTGTCGGTTGGGGCAGCCAGCTCGTGACGTCACTTACATATCAATACGTACTGTCACACTACAGGGCTAACGTACGTACGTGTCTTTTTAGAAATAGTTTGTGACTTACATTTGAATTCAAAGAATTTATAAACAATCACGGTACCAAGTTGATCGATTTCCACAGGCTTATATGGGTCTTCAGATTAGATTCATCATCAATTCTCCGGTTTTTCAGTATTATAAAAGAATGAAATTGCGGTTTTCACTTAGTGAAATACATCACGTGAATGTGAAGTGCGTAAGAAAAAGCGCAATTTAATACATTTCAAACTAAAATTAATAAGTAGTCTACGGGTCGACCGCTTTTAATTGCTGCTTTACGCCGGTGAACTCTTGACTCCATCAATTTTTGACATGTCGCACGAGAAAAACAGTCCCATTCTTCTACGTAGTCATACAGCTCTGTTAAATAGCCATGTCGATTTGAAACCCTTTTGTTAGACTTCGCACTAAAGATGCTCTATTGCTATGTATATATTATTATGCAGTAAGGAAAAGTTTTGCGTTACTGAGAGAAATACAAAAAAATGCATACAAATATATTCGATAGCCTGAGAAAAAAATTAATTTAAATAAGCTCTCATAATTACAAGACCACCAATGCCTTTGATACGTTTTTATTGTGTAATACAGTGTTTGTTCTTAATTTAATCATTAAATATCCCTAAATTGAGTTCCAAATCCTTTGAATTCCTTAGAAGTCACATATTTATATCTTGTTTTACTTATGTTTTTATGATATACAGTTTTATGTTTTTCCTGTACAAAAGAAGCATATTTAACACGCGCTGTAATGCTTTAGGAAATATCACTGTATCAGAATAACTGCACTTTTCATTGGGCATTCACTACCCATCTACCATGGCAATCTAAGTTAGTAATCTAGTAAGCTTATCTAGTAAACTAATCTGATGTTTTCCGTAATTGAGATAAGTATTTATGGTTAAAATTGAAAGTAAACAATAAAATTATGAATACATTTTTTGTTGTTTAATTCTAGGCACTGCGGCGCCGTGTAACCATAAGATGTCCTAACTCAAAAACATTGAGTTGAAAAACAAACCATAGCTGAAAGCTTCTTGGAAATTTTATTAGTCAGCTCTCCAACATTCAGCATATAAAAATATTGTTTTCTAATATTTACTGGTACGAGTATTATGGATTACTGACATGTCCTCTATTTTCTTTATTTCTGATCTACGAGTAATACCATGAACCAACAAGTATCTCCAGATTATAATGTTATATTTTTTCTTTTGTCTTATGTTCAAGGCGCGATTACCAAAACGAAGCCAGGAATGCAATTCTTTTTACCAACGATTTACTTCTCAAACAGTCTCTTTGTTCAATTCGATTCGTTTGAAGTATTTACGCTCGATTTAATTCCAAAGATGCTCGGATTTAAATCGTATGTTCCTTTAACAGAAGCGTATTCTGTTGGCAAACCTTCGAAACAATTCTGTCTCAGTAAGATGGGCTTCTCATAATCACGTAGAAATAATGATATTATTGTTATTAAATAATATTTAAAAAATTCGACATTAAATAACATCTGAACTCATACAACACGCGAGATGCAAGATATTCTAGGTACATAGTATACGTGATGGCAAAAACGCCGTCAGTCTTGAATAGTTTTATACATATATAACTTGCGAAATATACGGTAGTCAGTAGGACCATACAGGGCCTCCACAACCCTAAAGGTTCCGAGATTGGAATGGCAAATATCTAAGGATACCAACCTCTGACAGCTTATAAAGCATTGCTTTCTAAACAAAGATCATAATGGTCTTAGAAACAACAACAAGAATTTCATTTTAACACGCTAAAGCAAGCAAAATCTTCGAACGTTCATATAAAAGATCAGTTTCAAACACATCGATGTGTACCGTGAATTTTTTTAGTTTCTCGCATGTTTGTCACCAGGCTCTCATGAAGCACTTTTCATACGTTCAAAAAACGACATCAACTTAGTTGATTGAAGACTCAAGAGAGTCCACGTGCTACCCTAAGGCGAGACGAAGCATTGGCTCTATCCCTCCAAACCATAAACTCTCGCAACTCACCTGATTGGCGACTGATCGCAGGTGTTAAAGTAGAAAAAAAAAAACTTAGTTGATTAAGATCCCTAATGGGTTAGAAGAGAATGACACGGCTAACGGTATACTCATTATTAGTGCTACGAGGGCTGCACTAAAAGTATCGGGAATGGAATATTTCCACTGTTCCTGTCATATTAAAATCTTTTTAATTGAAAACTCCTTGGTTTTAAAAATCGAATACCATTTATTTATTTTAAAAAAGATTCTCGGTCTTGTCACGAGGTTTTGTCAAACTTGTTTAGTCGTTGAGAAAATGGAATTGACTCGAGAAAATTCAAGAGCGATGATTTATTATGACTTTCGAAGTGGTTTAACACAAAAACAGTGTGTTGACCGGATGATTTCTGCATTTGGTGATGAAGCCCCATCCAAAACCACAATTTATCGCTGGTTTGCTGAGTTTCAACGTGGACGTGTCAAGCTCAGTGATGATCCCCGTCAAGGTCGTCCAAAAACTGCAGTCACCCAAGAAAACGTTGATGCTGTGCGTAAGCTGATTGAGGAAGATCGACATGTGACATACCGCGAAATTCAGGCAACTTTAGACATTGGCATGAGTCAAATACAAATAATCTTGCATGAACAATTAGGTGTAAAAAAGTTGTTTTCCCGATGGATACCGCATTCGCTCTGTGAAGAGCAAAAAGCGGCTCGCGTTACTTGGTGCGTCAGAACTCTCGAAAGATTCCACGCAGGATCCTCAAATGCTGTATACAACATTGTATCAGGTGACGAATCCTGGATATACGCGTACGAACCCGAAACAAAAAACCAGTCACGAGTTTGGGTGTTCGAAAATGAGTTAAAGCCAACAAAAATTGTTCGTTCACGGAGTGTTGCAAAAAAAATGGTGGCCACGTTTGTCTCCAAAACCGGCCATGTTACGACTATTCCTCTTGAGGGACAAAGAACGGTTAATGCAGAATGGTATGCTAGCATTTGTTTGCCACAGGTCGTTTCTGAACTCCGTAAAGAGAACTGCAACCGCCGCATCATCCTCCATCACGACAATGCGAGTTCTCACACCGCGCACAGAACAAAAGAGTTTTTAGAGCAAGAAAACATAGAATTATTAGACCATCCGCCGTACAGCCCCGACCTAAGCCCTAATGATTTCTATACTTTCCCTAAAATAAAGAATAAATTGCGTGGACAGAGATTTTCATCACCTGAAGAAGCTGTGGACGCCTACAAAACGGCCATTTTGGAGACCCCAACTTCCGAATGGAATGGTTGCTTCAATGATTGGTTCCATCGTATGGAAAAATGTGTCAAATTTCGCGGAGAATACTTCGAAAAGCAATAAATACATTTTTAAATAGTAATGTTGTGTCACTTCGTTAATTCCCGAAAATTTCAGTGCCGCCTATGTATCACTTTCGAGACAACCGCAATATTGTCTCTTCAGCGTTCTCCTTTATTTCTCGTACTCTAAGAAAAATGAGAACGGTCGCGTGTTCATTATAAAAAAACAGATTATTAGGTACAATAGCAGCAATATGTAAGAGCAGTGGCGTAGAAAATTAAGAAAAATATAGATATGTCCCCTTTTAGGAGAAATCAGAAAATGTCAGTATGTCCTAATAATTTAGACCCCTATTGTATCATTTAATATACATGTCGAGGAGTGAAAGGCTATTTTCTATTTCATTGATTTAATTTTTATAGGTTAGATGGGTGGACGAGCTGACGGCCCATAGACATCTACAGCGTAAATGCCGCCATTCACCTTGAGATATGAGTTCTAAGGTCTCAAGTATATACCTACCTATATAGTACCTACAACGGCTGCCCCACCTTTCAAACCGAAACGCATTACTGCTTCACGGCAAAAATAAACAGAGTGGTGATACTTACCCGTGCGGTAAGCGACATTTTT